AAATGGGAAAATTGTTTTAGTTTCACAACTTCTAAGTATGATCTTATGTATATTAATATCAGGCTGCAAAATAGTTAGAAAGCTTTCCCCCACTCCTATGGGGTTTTCAGAGAGAAAAGAAAAAAATTATAGATACTGCATCTTCTAAATGGGTACATGACCAGAAAATGGCACACAAACTCACTGGACCAAGATATGAAGAAGACATGCAATGTGCATGTTGATTTTTGGAAATCACATTTTTTTAAATGAAGATGAGCAATATTTTCCAAAAAAAAAAAAACTAGGCAAATTTTAATTTGGTGGAGAACAAAACATTAATAGTTAACTATAGTTAACTAAGGTCCTCTTTACTAAATCTTGCCCATTAAAATGCTCAGAACATATAGAGAATTTTAATCAGAAAAAAACATTATTTTTATACTTCCTAAAGTATTAGGGAAACATTGAATTCTACACAAGGAATTCATATTGTAAAGCTATTATGTCTCTGTCATTGAGAAGGCTAAAAGGCTAATTCCAATGTAACCCTGATATTTGGGGGGCTAGCATTCTGAATCTGTGCCAGCAATCTAATGTACATTCTTGATAACCTATAATTAAGTCATTGCCCCTTTCTCCACAAACTGGTCTTGCAAGACCTGTTACCTAAATGCTCACATCTTACAGAGGCCATAAACCATGGCACAGCCATGAGGGGAGTTAACCAGAGGGGGGTTATCAGCGCTGGTGCCAGGCCAGGCCCTTAGGTATAGTCTCAAGACCCCCAACACCTGAGGCTTTTTGCAAAACCCACGATCTGTGTGCCCAGTTCGGGCCTCTAGCAACGGTGGAATAGAAATGCAGTCCGGCTCATGATTGAGCCGGAAGTTCCAAGACAAAGGGGGGAATGAAAGGGCGTGGGCTATGCCCTCCATCTTGCCCCAGGGTAAGTGCTCAATCTTACCTTGGCCATGTGCTTGGCAAGGAGCTTCCCGGAAGTCTAAGCCTCTGCTAGCCACACCCAGGAACAAGACACTGACTTGCGCCTGGCCAATCGGCAAGGCCACAGCCCTTTCTCCTCCCCTTACTCCAACCCCCTATAAAACCCCTCTCCACACAGAGTTCTCTCTCTCTCTGCTTCCTGTCGCTGCGTCGGCAAGGTGGGTGAGCCGAGCTAGCTCGAATAAAGACTCTTATGCTATTGCAAAAAATAAATAAATAAATAAATAAATAAAATTATATTGTCTACAGTACAGTGTTTCAGGTACCTCATATAATTACCTGGATAAAATACACAACATTTCAAGCAGTAAAAGACATTTTTAGGAACACAAAGCACCCAATAATGCACACAACACTCTAAGGACTTAGATGAATGCTATTTTATTTTCACTGCATTATTCCTTACAATCATCAATGTTCTCCCATTTAAAGTGCCTTCACTTATGCTTTTATGCTATTGCTTGTGCTCACCCTTTCAAGAGCCTGCAGTACATTCTAAAATACATCTGACATTTCTCAGACATGGGAAGATTCTACACACATCAAGCAGAGAAGACAATGCTGGTGGCATTTAATCCTTGGCTCAGCAAAGAAAAATAATTATTCAGAGGATCTGCCTTAACTCCTAATTCTGGGAAGAAACACATTTGCAGCAAAGCCATGTCAAGGATCTCAGTGGACACAGGGTGGGAAAAAGAGACTGAAGGTATCCATGACTAAACTTGTGAATAGAGTTCTAAACTTGGATATTTCCAGAAAAGGCAAATATATTCTGTCCTACCAGGACCCAAGTAAAGACTGGAATTTGATTTAAGGCAGGAGTGTCCTGATCATATAGAATCCATTTGTCCTTATGGCAAATGGACACTTTACACAAGTAAAAGGAGAATTAAAATAAAAGGACATTCCAAAGGGGGTAGGAATATCACTCTTCTAAACATGATCAAGTCTGATGAGCTGACAAACTTCAATGTGGACCTTTGCTGCAGAGCTTCAAAGTCAGGCAACCACTTTTATCACTTACAGTTGAAAATAGATCCAATAGCCCAGCTGGCATGGCTCCTTGGTTGAGCATCAACCTATGAACCTGGAGTCACAGTTCGATTCCCAGCCAGGGCACATGCCCAAGTTGTGGGCTCGATCCCCAGTGTGGGGTATGCAGGATGCAGCTGATCAATGATTCTCTGTCATCATTGATGTTTCTATCTCTCTCTCCTTCTCCCTTCCTCTCAATTAAAAAAATATGTTTTTAAAAAATAAATCAAATAAAGAGGAGATCTAGATTTGTTTAATCCAGAGAAAGTTAAAGTGTAGGAAATATTAGAGTTAACTGCTAATAACTACTCGATGTCTACAAAAGGATATGATGGCAGCAAAAGAAGCAATCTACTTAGAAAGGTCTCTTATTGAGGTACATTACCAAAAAGGCTAAACATTCTTTTCTAATAACCAACTGAAGAAAAAAAGGCAAAACATAACAAACGACAAGTGCTGGCGAGGATGTGGAGAAAAAGGAACCCTTGTGCACTGCTGGTGGGAATGCAGACTGGTGCAGCCACAGGGGAAAACAGTATGGAGTTTCCTCAAAATATTAAAAATGGAACTCCCATTT